CTGAGGGCGGGCTGAAAAGTTGGTCCTTACAGCCCGGGTTAGTGGCTGTAAGTGCTGTGTAACGGCACCAATGCTGCGCAAGGGACACAGGTTATTCGGCAAGGGGAGCGTGTGAGCTGCCTACCCAGCACGCAGCTCTCCTAAGCATGAGGGGAAGGAGGACTAAATACAAAATGGGTCTTTCCCGTTACTGCTGTTTGCTTGTGCCTGTGCTAAATGGCCTGATGCGAACACCTCCAGCCAGGGGAAGGGCCTGCCATGCCGACACGACTCGCAGTGTCCTCTCTGCTTCGGCCTCGGCTGCCACACGCTGCCTTGGATCAGGATCACGTTTGCAGCCACGTAAGTGCTTGCGTTTGGTTCTTATTTAAGCTAAAGAATAGCCCTCACAGCCCTGAGTAAGTTGCTGGCAGTGGAGGATCCGATGCATTTGCCTTGGTAAGGCTGAGCAGCGCTGCTGCATGCACGAACGTGGAGTTTGGAGGGGGGGGGCTTGCTCCTTGCCACAGAAACCCCCTCAGCCTTTGTGCTCCTCATGGTGAGAAGTAGTGCCTGGTTTTGGTCTCTGGTGTGATGAACTTGGAAATGATGGGGCAGGGTAATGGGAGGTTGTGAGCGAGAGGAGTTTGCTGTGGCAGAGGCAGCCTGGATCAAACCCCTCCTTTGTGTGGACCCGTTCCCTTGGAGGGGCTGGAGCAGTTCTGGAGGAGAGGAGCTCAGGAGGGTTTTGTCCCACTGAAAGCAATGCTGGGAAACAGCAGCCTGGGAAATGCTTCACTAGGGGACAGGCTGGGGAGAAATGCTGATTTTTTTTTTTCAGAGAGAATTTATTGAAGTTAGTGAATGATTGCTTGACTTCTTTATGCCTGAGGGCGAGAGAAATTGAGTTAGGGTTTGTATGAGTGTTAGACCACCTGGGAGCCCTGCACGCGTGTTGGAGGTGACTCCTGTTCTGGTACTAATACAATGCACTGCTAACATCTGCCTGCATATCAGTAGAAAGCCCCTGTCTGAGCATCACACACTCCTAGGCAGGGGGGGAAAAAAATGCAGGTTTGCCATTATTTCTAGGAGAAAGCAAGGCTGAAGGGGTGGGGGTCACAGTGGTGTTGGAGTTTAAGCAGACATCAGTGTTGCTTTGCCACAGAAACATCCAGAAAGGTTATTTCTGACTGTAAGGTCAGAATTGAGACTTGATCACCGCTCCCCTGCTCTTACCACTGGCTGCAGCACGCTCCCAGCCTCTCTGAGATGGAGCAGAGTTTAAAAAAACCCCACAAATTGGGAAAAATAATTCAGTT